AGTGCCTTTGAAACCGGGAAAACTTGAAAAGGAAATACCCTCTACCAATGCAGAGCATAGTCAACCATCAACCAATAGACTTTCAGAGTTTGCCTAGGACTCTTAGAGGTTAAGTAATTTACATTCAGTTCAATTTAATAAACACTTATTAAGTGCCTACTATGTGTCAGGCATTGTGTTAAGAGCTGGGGATACAAAAAGAGGCAAAAGACAGTCTCTGTTCTCAAAGAGCTTACAAAGGAGGCAACATGCAAACAAATACACACAAAGCAAGTTACATGCAAGATAAATAGGAAATAATTAAAAGAAGAAAAGCACTGGAATTAAGAGAGTTAAGGAAGGCTTTCTCTAGGAGGTGGGATGTTATGCTTACAGTGTCAGAGCGGAAGTTGAATCCAGGTCTTCCTGCCTCTGAGGCCTGCTCTTTATCTACTACCCCACAACTACATCACAAAGTAGGTATGTTCTTTACATAAGGAAAAAATGTTCCTTAGATTGAACTGGGAAGATTTAGAGTAGGAAAATCTAGGTTCCCATCTAAGCTCTGCTAATCACAAACTGGGTGACTGGAAGCAAGTTACTGCTCTGAGCCTCAGTTTCCTCATCTGTAGAGTGGGAGTAATACTCTACAATTCAATTCATATTGTTGTTTTAAGGAAATTGCTTTGCAAGGCGTAAAGTAATAGAAATTCATAGCAGTTAAGTAGCAGAGAATAAATCTGGAGGGTTCCTGAGGGGCTGGTTTGGTCCCAAGTGGAGATATGCATTTCCCTATGCTTGGCAGGTCTGAACCTCCTCCTTTATCCAGAGTGCATAACATACACCTACGCTTTTTACACCTCGTTTTAAAACACTGAAGAGACAGCAATTCATTTTTAGTTGTGTCATAGGCACTGGGTTGACTGGCAAGGCCACTGAAATGTATTTCTGGCGAGAAGCCTTCTCTATGGAAACTTAAGGGGGTGGATTCCTTCTTTCCACCTCCACCCCTCCACGCACACACTTCAGGCAAGAAAGCGAATGCAGGATTTCACCGACCACACTTATATTATTCACCCAGGGAAGGATAAAATCATACCAGGCATTGTTCTAGGGAAACCTTCATTGACTGTGAGATGAGGGGATTTAAAAAAAAAAAAAGCAAAACCCAGCTTGGAGACAAGAGGCTTTTCTTTCTTTCTTTCTTTCTTTCTTTTTTTTAAATAACGTGCTATTCATGTCAAAACTGTTATTAACATTAATTTGCCATATCAACCAGAGTTCGACATTGCTTTTTCTGTTGACATTAAAAGCACAGGAATAGTTACAAGGATGTTAAACTCCAAGATAAGTAATTTGCTTTTCATGAATATGCTATTATTATAATAATTCTTTATTTGTGGATTTGGGGGCTGGGACTTCTTAAAATAGAGGGTCTGCGTCCCTGCAAATAAAGTACTAGCAAAAATAAGCTGCTCTTAGACAGGGTCAAAACACCATTTCAGAGCCTGAGTAGAATGCGGAAGTGGTGGGTTAGTTTGTTTATTTGTTTGTATAATGGGGATAACAAGGTCAGGCAGAGCTTCCAGGTCACTATCTTCAAGTCAACAGATGGTCACTGAGCACCTGTTAAGGGTAAGACACTTAATTAGGCCCTCTTCTAAATCTATAAGTAAAACATTTATTGCATTCCATAATTGCACAGGGTTCTACTTTAAGAGAACCACAGACAGGCTCAATCTTCTAAGGGGCTTCCTAGGACCTTACTATTTCTCTGAGGAACCTTCAGCATGAAGTCAGAAAGTATCAGATCCCAATCCTGAAAATTCCATTTATCTCTTGGTAGTTGGACAGCAACACCCAAGAAAAACTCACATTTACATTATGGTTTAAGGTTACAAAGGGCTTTCACAAATATATCATATCATCTGATCTTCACAACACCTCTGAGATATGTAGTATGTGTTATCATCTCTATTCTACAGATGAGGAAATTAAGGCCCAGAGAAGTTAAGTTGGGGGTACTTAATCTGAGGCTCTCACATTTAAGAAAATCTTTTTGTTAACTATATTTCAATGTAAGTAGTTTTCCTTTTTAACTCAATACATTTTGTTTTATTCATTTCAAAACATTATTCTGAGAAGCGTTCATAGGCTCCACCAGACTTGGCAAAGGGATCTATGACACAAAAAAAGGTTAAGAACCTTTGGAGTTGGTGGGATGAGAGAAATGATTTCCCCCTCCTCTATGGTCACATAAGTAATAGGTATTGAGCTGGTATCTGAACTCGAGCTTCCTCCCTTCCTATCCAGGTTAAAGAAAAAAAAAACCTAAACTAAACTCAAAACCCATTTCCAAAGCACTTTCACGTCTACTATCTTATATTCAAGGAATATTAAAACAACCTTATGAAATAGGGAGTCCTGGAAACAGTGTACCTATTTTACAGATCAAGAAATCAAGGCAGGTGGTGCAGTGGATAGAGCACTGGCCCTGAAGGCAGGAGGACCTGAGTTCAAGTCCTGCCTATGACCAAACACTTGACACATACTAGCTGTGCGACCTTGGGCAAGTCACTTAACCCCGATTGCCTCACAAAAAAAAAAAGAAAGAAAAAAAGAAAAGAAAAGAAAAAGAAATCAAGGCATAGGAAATTGCCTTGTTACATTTATAAAATGCTTTTTTATCCAGGAAGCTCACTGAAGACCATTCAATTCATCTGCTTTTCATGGGTCCCACACTGCAAAAATAAATTAGGAAGAAATCAGTTACAAGAGCCTGAAAACCTATTTAGAGAAATATTTGGCACCAATACAACAGTAAATGCAAGTCCCATGCTGTTGTTTTCTTAATGATTCAAAATCTTTCATTCTCTTAAACAGAACAGTCTCACTGAGAGTCTTGAGTCAAACTGCCAGGAACAAGTTATATGTAGTTCTCTTTAGAAAAAAAAAGTTGCTAATGGAAATGCTGACAAATCCATTCACAGTGGAGGGCTGATGGCTGACATGAAAAAATATACACAAAGATTATAGTAATAAAATACATATTTTAAGTGCCTTCCAAAAGTTCAAGGCTTCTGAAAGCTCCTATTAATAATAGGCTACTCAATCTTTCTGGCATTTGATTTTGTCTCATAAATGGACTTAATGTGAGGGAATACCATTGTACCTAACTTGTTCCATTCTCACTGGTTTTTTTCTCATTTGATTTTGTTAGATGAGTGTGTTGTCTTTTAACAGAAATGACCAATTGTCTTGACATGAGAGGGTCGCTTGCTATTTATTGTACCAGTTACTAAAGAACAGATGCCATTTAAGTAGCAAGGGGCTAGGGCATAATCAACAGGGTTGTTTATGTACCAAAGACCAGTCACTAATTCTGAAGCTGTGTTTTGGGCTTAAAAAAAAAACATGTAATGGTAGTTCTGTCCCATCAGGAAGAAAAATTATACACAGTGGTATACAAGGCCATTTCAGGGTAATGACCTAGCAAAATTTACATTTCTATAGAGATTTATATTTTACAAAAAACTTTCCTCTCAGCAACACACTACATAGCACTGAGGGGTAAATAATGCCTATATTATTATCCCCAAAGGTAGGTGAGGAAACTGAGGCTCAGAGGAGTAAAGGGACTTTCCCAAAGTTACTTAGGTAATACTAAGTCTCCTGACTGAAAATTCAGTGCTCATTCTGTATCACCATGCTGCCCTTAGATCTAAGGTGAGGCTGGAATAAGGCTATAGGATGAAAATAAGAGGAGATATCTAGGGAAGAAGAGAAGCTGCTGGTCCCCAACCCTGGACAAATCATAGAAGATGAAATTGGTTTCCATTTTTGTTGGCATTTTCCTGTTGAGGGAGAGTTCTGCTTTGTCATTTACTAGCTCTGTGGCTTGGGCAAATCACTTAAACTCTGTAGGTCTCAGTTTCTTTCTCTGTAGAAGTTTCTTCCTCTGACTTAGAAAGCCTAGTTCTGATATTCTATGATTTTACAGAAGCGCAGCTTTTGCCCATTTGGCATCTTAGGATTAAAAAAAAAAGTGCCCAATAAAAGTAGTTAATAGATTTCCGTGAAATCTATTTTTATGCATAGTATGGAATAGATTCAAAATGGCACAACTTGTACTGTAACAGGGCTCATTAGTACACTGATCTGGATTTAAGAGAGATCAGAGCTTGTTGTCCTGTCATGGAGTGAAGGCCCAAGATAAACCGGTTTACAGACAGTGTTGCATCCCTAACACCAGCATCGTGATTGAGTCCAATTCAATATAACTCAATTCAATTCAACAAACCCTTACTAAGCCCTGGAACCAGTGCTAGTTACAAACACAAAGGCTAACAACAACAAAACCCAACCTGTCTCTGACTTCGAAGAGCTTGGTGAGGGAAGGGGAGTGAGGAAGCTGACCTGCCCACAACTGAGTGAATACACATTATATACAAACTAACAGGAAGTTATTTAAAGAGGGAGAGCGGGTTAATAATTGGGGGACAAAGAGGATAGACTGGGGGAATGGCAGCAGTATTGGAGGAAATCAGCAAAGGCCTGGGCTGGAAGGCAAGACCTGAGTGGAACTTTAAAAGATGCTAGGGATTCTGGGAGGCAGGAGGAAGGAGGGAGGGCATTCTAGACATTCTAGGGACAGTTTGGACAAAGGTATGGGAGGTGGAGACAGCTATCAGGTGTTTGAGCCCGACTATGGATACAGGGCTCAGGGGACATTGGTACTTTGGGTCACTTTACCACATTTAATGTGAAATCATCTTACTATAGATAATCAACATTTCACTCCACCTAAATCTTACTTTGTTAATGAGTATAAATAAAGTGATAGAATAAAATGAATTCAATACAAGGGTACATCGATCTGCAAATACGAGGGCACACACATGTGCTTGGAATTCTATCCATAAGGGAAGACATCCCTTCTGTCTTTGTCTTAAACCTAAGCTCTATTTCCATTACTTTCAACTATTCCATGACGAGTGCCTTTTTCTCAAATTTCTTTTCAGAAACAGATGTTCCAAGAACGCAGTGGACGGATGCTACAGGCATTATCACCAAGGCAGAGCCCGACAAACAGCCCAACGAGGGGTCGGTCTCCTTCCCGTTCCCCCTCTCCCACTTTCCCCTGGCTCCCAAACAAAACCTCTCCTCCTTCGTCCCCTAAAGCAGCCTCAGCCTCCATCAGCAGCATGAGTGAGGGGGGATGAGGATGAGAAGTAAAGCAATGATTGTTGGCAAACTGGCTACAAGAACCACAGGGAGGGATGACTGACCTTGCACACAGAGGTATAGAGAGGGTGGGGGGAGGGCGTCAAGAGTGACCGAAGGCGAGTGTCTGACATGAGCACCTTTGAGGTGGAAGGATCAAGATGAGACCTGGAATTCTAACGGGAGCAGTCTCAGTAACAGCTCTGCTCCTTCAGTTTCTACACCATCCTCAGGCACACGCTCAGCATGGAGTTTGCCAGTTGTGACTCAGGACTGATCGAACTGTACAAACAGTCATCATCACTATTTTAATCTCTATCGTGGGAGGCAGAGAGAACCAGGAAGAATTTGCACTGAATAGAACTATTTTCTGCTTCTGGTTTTTTGGTTTTTGGTTTTTGGGTTTCTTTTGTGCTGACCCAAACCTAATGAGCAGCCTTCTGAGAAGAACAGTGTTTCCCTTCACTTGGCTGTGCTTGAATTTCCTTGGGTGCCCTAGTAGACCCAAGGCTCACTAGAGTAAGAGATGACCCACCATTGTGGCAAGATGCTTCAGAGGTGTTCAAGAAATAGGAAAATGAAAAAAGCCAAGTGGTCTAACTCAACTATCCACCATCTTCAATGGGACCTGATCTTGTAGAAGTATCAACTCTCCAGTTTCATGAATATGACCCATTGGAGAGGACTCACTCTCCAAGCCAAACAACAAGGGTCACCTAGGATGAAGCTTCTTTTTTTCCTGCCCCGACACCCCAGATCACAGTTTTGTTAAGAGATGTTCCCAACAGGACCTAACACCTCCTGTTGTGTTCTTTTTTTTTTTCCACATGTTTGGGATGGAATACCCTCCCAGAAGTTGCTTTCAGTACGGATCTTCTGGTTTGGAAAATACAAGGGAAGTTAAAATAGTAAGCAAAAAAATGACTTTGATCTGATCAAATCTGAGTTTCTTAGATACTGAAAATCTCCAAGAGAAACTCCTTAAAGAAAGTTCATTATTATTAGTTCATCTATAATGCCTTGTTCAGAGTGAGGCTTGCCTTCCTCTCTAACTGATCAGGCATTCTGATAGACCTCAAGAGAAACTGTGCTCTCCTTGGGCACAGTGCACAAATCAGGGCATGGTGGCTTTGAATGACCTGTTCTACATACGCACCATGTACACCACCCAGGTGTATCCCATATGCAATATGAATATCGAGGAATGTGCATTTTATAAGCTGTTCCTCTCCTGCTTTCTCCCCTGCCCATTAGACTCAGCTTGAATCCTTGGGATAAAGTGCTACTTGGTTCCCTCTTGATTCCAGTTCTTCACTGGCAGAGCTGGAAAGTCCTCCTTTGCTGTTTTGAGTCAGAGAAGATGGCTCTGTCCTTGAAAGAAACGGGATCAATTGCTTTAACATTTCTGAGTGGAAGGAACAAAGGAGGTGGTTTTTCCCTGATACCTTTCTGGGACCTCAGTTTCGATCTTAACCTTTTAGATAATTTGGTGCTGGTGTAGTTATATTCCTATGCTGGGGGTATTCAAATAGGAAGCATTCTTTGCACTCCTGTTCTATCCTCTCCTTGGTGGTGGCCATTTGTGGAGGTATGCCCTCTGAAACAATTCTCTGTGTTCTTTCTCCTATACAGCACTAACATTAAGGAAGCTAGCTATTGCTTCCTAAAGATTGATGATTAGAAAAACATTTTGAGTCCCAGCTCTTGGGTAGAAATGGGCCTACCCTCCTGGCTGCCTCTATAAAGCCAGAGACTAAGTTGGCACATAGAGCAATGGTCTACACCAGCAATTTCTCAGAGGAAGTCCAGGGCCTCTTGTGATGTAGCTCTTGCCACAGCTCTTGAGTGTCAACCTTCAAGACATTGGGGAGATCCCACCCCTGAAAGAAAGATGACATGATGCCCTCTCTGCTACAATGGGGTTAAACTACCTCTCTGCCCACCTGAAGATAAGTGAGATTAGAAAGTGAAATTCTAAGTTAAACCCACAAAAGCCTGTCCACTCAGTCTAGTTCATACCCACCTTGTCCTCAGGTTGGTGGCCACCACACTCAGCCCTCATGTGCAGCCAAAGGAATGTACTTGGTGTGAAATCCCCACGTATAGATGAGGGCAAGGATCAAAGTGCCACGGGCAAGGGAAAAAACCACAGGGGCCGAGTTGCTCCATCTCCAGCGCATTACTTGGGGTCTTTGCTTCTGCCTCACAACTGATGCAAGTTGGCTAGCCATGCTTGCTGTCTCAGCTTGTGTAAAGCCTCTGCCAAAGCAAAAGGTTAAGGAGGAAAACAAGCTGAAAAAGCTGGATTGATAGCAGTAAGAAAGGGAAAGTGAAAGTGGGGAAAGAAAGGAAAATGGGGAAAGGGAAACAGAGAAGAAAAACTGGGCATGGGAAAGAGTATACGTTAAAGCCTCACTTATCTTGTCTCCAAGGTCTATGGGGTGGCTACACTTTCCTGATAAGTTGCCTTACAGTGAGTTCTTTTTCCTATTTTAGTGCTAAAATTTTGGTTTCAGTGGCTAAAATGTTTTAATAACTAACAATACCCTGGGAGGGGTTCAAAAGAGATAAGCTCATTTCTCAGTTCTGTTTTGAAGCAAATGGTGTTATAACCACATGGGCATCCTAAGTGACAGGGGCCACCAGGATGTATTGGCAGATTTGGTGCCAAGATATGTTTGCCACTTGCAGAAAACAGCAGCTATGTGGCAGATCCTGGGCATAGCTAAAATAGAACCTACTGGTGAGTTCTAGGGTAAGGGAGAGAAATACTGTCTTTTGAGTCAGAGAGTCTGTGACTGAATCTCAGCCCTGTAACTCCCTGAGTGACCTTGGGCAAATCACTTACCCCCTCTGGGCCTCAGTTTCCCTTGACAAAATGAGTAGATTGTTTTTAATGTCCTTTCTGATCCTAAAACTATGGTTCCCCATATATTGCCTTCTTTCTTCCAACATCACTTGGGGTTGAGGGGCACAAGTTCAGGAAGGGGGATTAAACTGATCTAATCCTTTGACTTTCACCTAGCTATCCTCCAACTAACTCAAGCTCTCACAAGTTTTTTGCACAGGACCCCTGTTTTCTGAATCAGTGTTTACTTAGAGTGCCTGATCTTATCCTGCCGTAGACAGCAACGAAGAGCAAAGAATGGGTGGCATGGGTGAAAAAGAGGAAATAAAATAGAAAACAGGCTGGAAGAAGTAAGAGAGAAGTAGAAGGGCAGAAAAAACAGGGATTATGCTTCTTGGCCAGGAGATGAGAGGATACAGACTGAGGGAGGCAGAAGAAGGGGGGGCATTATGGAATGTAGGGGCTGTGGTGCAGAAGGAATAGGCACAGAGCAATGAGTAATGAAGAGAGGAGATGGGGATGGGAAAGGGAAGCAGATAAAATGCTAAAAGGTTCAAAATGTCATGGGATAATAAACATGGAAGACTTGCTTGTGGAAAAAAAAAGCAGGAAAGAATATAGTGGGGGGGTTTTAAATGTTGAGTGTGGGTGTGCGTATTGGAGGGGGGTTTATGTGTGTGTATGTGTGTACCAGTCAACTGACCTCTAGATTTTCCTAGTCTAAGAATGGTTAGCTTAGTTGCTATTTGGAAGAAGATACATGAACCTTAGGGGGAATCATTAACACTAGGTCTTTGCACATATCCTTTGCAGTCTCACAATGCAAGCATTTGCTCTTCCACCAGCTAAGGAACATCACCCTTTTACTTAGCTTTTCATAGTTCCAAAGGCCAACCTCTTCCATGTCAGCTGGGCAAACCAATGGGAGGGTAGTCTTGCCTGCCTTCATCTTTCATTCACTTAACACAGGAACATCAGAAGGATTAATGGGTCAGAAGCAAGCTAACTTCTTTAGTGAAAAGAATGTGAAAGTCGTGCTTGTTTGGTTGATGACTACTCTCTGTAAAACACAGGCACAGTAGTTATTATTCAATCTTTATGCCTTAGGTGAATACTTACTGTAATTCTATCCTTTGGGGGACGAATGGGACAAACACCTGGACAACTTCCTCTAATTTCTAAGACTATTTTCAGCTGAATTTCATGAGCCCAGATATAATCAGCTGGGGATGGCCATGTTTCTTCAGCATCAGTTTAATATCGGTTTTGGTTTGAGAAACAATGACGTTGGGTCCTTTAAAGAAAAAAAAAAACTCGGGTCATTTGCTACTCATGCCATTCTCTAGACTTGAGATTTTCATCAAGTCACTGTGATCTATCCAGGGACAAAGCCATAGGGAGTACATACACACACACACACATATATGCCCCCGTACGCACACACATCTATATACATATACACACGTATTTAAATAAAAATATGCCATACTTGAGATCGTGTCTGGGTTAATGGTATACTAAAGCCCGAGCATCTGTCCTGGTGCTGTACACTCTACACCACTGGAATTGAATTCCCTCCGTACTCCTACTCCCTAATGGAACACAAAATCTCCAGATAGTTTATAAACAAACGAATGCAGAATTGCACATTTGGGACTGTCATTTTTTTTAAAAGTGTGCTTCTGTGTGTTCAGGCTTAGAGGCCCTAGCTCAAAATGATAAAATAAATGATTTAAAATTGCTGGTACAGCTTACTGTCTTTATTCTTTGATGGCACCAAGGAATTACACTCTTTTCTTCAAAGAGAACTGGTTATACTCTCACCAGATGCAGAACCTCTGAAAGGCTCTTGCAGGAGGAAGAGGTGTTGATATCCAGGCTGGTCAGGTACCATTTCATCTGGAGGGGATGTGGTGTAGATTACCTAATCTCCTCCTAGCTATTATTTTTAAAAATTCAATTTTATTCTTGAATTCTAAATTCTCTTCCTCTCCCGCCTATTGAGAAGGCAAGAAATGCAATAGCAATTATCCATATCAAGTCATTCAAAATATATTTCTGCATTAGCCATGTTCTGAAAAAAAAAAAAAAAAAAATAAGAAAGAAAAACTATGCTTAAATCTGCACTTCAAGTCCATAATTTCTCTGGTGGTGGATAACATGTTTCCTCATAAGTCTTTTGGAATTGTAGTGGGTTGTTGTGTTGATCAGAGTTACTAAGTCTTTTATAGTTGATTATCTTTACGCTATTATTACTTTGTATATTGTTCTACTGATTCTTCCCACTCCATTTTACATCAGTTCATTTAAGTCTTCCCAGACTTTTCTGAAACCCACCCTTTCATTATTTCTTACAGTGCAAGAGTATTCCATTACATTCATATTCTGTAACTTGTTCAGCCATTCCAAATTGATGGACACCTCAGTTTACATTTTTTTTTTTTGCCACCAGAAAAAGAATTGCTACAAATATATCTGTATATATAGGTCCTGCTATGATTTCTCTGAGGCTTGAATAACCACCTTAGCAAGCCTCCTGAGAGAAAATGCTTGGAAATTTCCAAACTTAAAGCCAGAATGATGATTCAGTGGAGACTTGTACTTTACAAACCCTCTCAAAGTGCTGAAGTATTCTGCCTGCTATATCAGAGCTTACATAGTTCATCCTCTATAACTTGGGATTCTAGAGGCCTCCAGGTTATAAGTGACACAGAGCAGTTAGACAAACTTGACCAGAAAAGAAAAAAAATCTCCAGTTCCTTCAACTAATCCTCATATGACATGGATTCAAGGATCTTAACCGTCCTAGTTCTTCTACTATGGATGCTCTCAAGCTTAACAATGTAATAGCTAAACTGTGGTTCACACAACTAAATATTGTACTTTAGATACAGACTACCTGCAGGACAGCATCACCACCATGTTTTATCTCCTTATTCCCAGAAGGTATTCTTCTCTCAATGCAGCCCCTCAAAGCATCAGTTTTGTTGGTGGTGGGTTTGTTTTTTTTTTGGCTGCCATATCATGCTACTGACTCCTATTGAACTTAGACTCCACTAAAATCACAGATCTTTTTTCAGTCAAACTGCCATCTCACCATGTCTCCCTTCATCCTCCAATTGTGAAGCTGATATTTTGAACCCAAGTATAGAGCTTTACATTTATCTCTACTAAATTTGATTTTATTAGAGTCTATCTAATGCTCTAGCCCATAAAGGTATTTTTGAATCCAGACTGTCATCCAATGTATTGGCTATTCCTTCCAGCTTTGTGTCATCCACAAATAAGTCATTGATAGGAATAGTAAGCATCACAGGACCAAGCACAGATCCCTGAGACATTCTACTGGGGAATCCTTGCACATTGGGCATCAATCCATTAATGACGATTCTTTGAGTCCAGAAATTCAACTGATTTCTAATCCATTTAATTATATTATCATATATTCCATATATCTCTATCTTCTTCACAAGGATAACATGAGATATTTTTATCAAATGCTTTGTTAAAATCTAGGTAAACTATATCTATGGTATTGCCCTGGTTTAGTAATCCTGTTCTAAGCTTATGATCTGTTTTCTACCTCTTTCTGATCAAGTGGTCTGTAATTTGTGCCCATGACTAAGTCACTTTTGTTTCTCTCTCCATTGATCTTCATTCACCCAAATGTTCACCATCATTACATACATCTCCTCTCTGGTTGCTGGACTTCTCACATGAATATACCTTTTTCAGTACAATGCTACTTCACCCCACCTTTTAACCATCTTTTTTTTTTATTATTAAGACCTATATATCCGTTGGAAAGACAGGAACACATATTTTTGCTGGAGTTGGGAATTGGTTCAAACATTCTGAAAAGCAACTTGAAAATCTGCTAAAAATTGTTTAAGGGATTAAAACATACATAGCTTTTGTTCCAGAGATCCCATTATTAGGAATATATCCCAGTGACAGAAACAAAGGCCTCAAATACAATATAACAACATTCATAACAACACTTTTTGTAGCAGCAAAGAACTGAGAACAAAGTAAATCACTACATAAGCTATGGTATATGACTAATGAAATATTATGTGTTTGTAAGAAACTATGAGTATGTTGGGGGAAAGTGTGAGAAGACTTCCATGAATCAATGCAGAATAAAGTAAGCAGAACCAGGAAAACAATATACTTAATGACTAGAACAATGTCATTTGAAAGAGGATGGAGTAGAAAGAAGAGAAAAAGGAGGAGGAGGAGAACAATAACAACAAAAACAACCTAAACGGAACATTGTGTAATTATAATGGTTGAGCTTAGCTGGAAAAAAAAGAGATGAGAAAATGTACCTCTTTTCCTTCTTTGGAGAGGTGGCATGTGGAACACTGCATTTACTGTTACATTCAGGCGATGTATTGATTAGTTTTATTGAATTGATTCTTTTTCTCTTTCTTTTTATTGTTTGTTATGAGAGGTAGTTCTCCCAAAAGGGGAGGGGAAAGAGATATATTCAGAAGTGGTGATGTATAAATAGATATGGCTGAAACTTAAAAACTTTTTAAAATAAAAGATATCCTCATCTATTTTCATATTCCAGTTATGGATTTCTTCCCATCAGCTCTCAGTGGGTAAGAACCATGAGGTCAGATTGGCCTCCTTATGATAGGACTTCTAGTTCCTCTTGCTTAATACCTAAACTCTAGATATTTCCACCTAGACATTTGAAGCCAAAGATTACCTTCTAGCTCTTATTTTGGAATTTGCCTCTGGTGAATTTCTCTATGGCTCAACTGCTATTCTTGCTTCATTTCAGCTATTCTCTATGGCACCTAGCTTGGTGGGTATACAAAGACAGCTTTCTTCCCCTCCCTGTCCTTTTTATTTTAAGGTCATTTTCATCAATTGGCAAAACATGAGACAAATACACTCTCTTTTTTTTTTTAGTCCATCAAAATGTTTTTGATCGTCAAATATTTATCTGCAAACTATATTCAAACATGGAAACATATTGTTTCAATCTCCTAAAAATTATGCCTAAATAAATGAGAGACAGTGTGGAATAGTGGCTAGAACTGGACTCAGAGACACGGACATCTGGGTTTAAGTGCCTCCTCTGAAACATACTGGTTGTGTGAGGCTAAGCAAGTCAGTATTCTAGGAAACTCTATGATCACAAATTTTGGAGAAGCACCTACTTGTATTGGGAAGAGAGAGCTTTCTAACCTTGGAGTTTCCTATACCAATGAAATCACAGATCCAGTCCCAAACCCTAAAGCGAACCAACACATGGATCCTTCCCTGAAGAAGTTCCTATAGTGTGGGACTGGCTGATCTTAATCCATTAGACAGAACACAGAGGCTCCGTTCAAAACCTAGAAGGTGAGAAATACTATACTTTTTAAAAATTCAATTTTATTCTATTTTCAAGCCTGCAATCTCTCTCTCTCTCCCCCTCTCACTTCCATTAAGAAAGCATGAAAAACAAAACCCATTACACACATATAGTCAATGAAGGAATTAATTGTAATTGACTATACATGTTTGCACATACACGCATATACACATACTTTGGTATGTGTATACACCTTTTATGTGTATATGTATATATTTATATATATATAAAATCATCTTTTATATGTGTGTGTGTATATATATATATACATATATATGCATATATATATGTCTTCACTTTGAGTCCATCACCTCTCTATCTAGAGATACATAGAATGTTTCATCATGAGTTCCCTAGAATTGTAGATGTTTATTGCATTGATCAGAGTTTTAAAGTCTTTCAAAGTTGTTTGTCTTTATGATATTGTTGTCGTTATATAAATTTTTCTTTTGGTTATGCTCATTTCACTTTGCATCAATTCATACAAGTCTTCCCAGGTTTTTCTGAAATCATCCCCTTCAACATTTCTTACAGCATGACAGCATTCTATCACATTCATATAACACATCATTTGGCTATTCCCCAATTGGTGGACAGCCCTTTAATTTCCAACTTTTTGCTGCCACAAAAAAGGCTATGATAAACATTTTTGTAAATATGGGTCCTTTTCCTCTTTCTTTGATCTCTTAGAAATTGTATAACTGGGTCAAAGGATAGGTACAGTTTAATAGCTTTTGGGGTATAGTTCTAAACTGCTTCCAGAATGATTGGACAAGTTCACAGTTCCACCGACAGTGCATTAATGTACCTGTTTTCCCACGGCCCCTCTACCATTTTTGTCAATTTTATAATCTGATGGGTGTAAAGTGGTACCTCAGAGTTGTTTTAAATTGTGTTTCTCTAATTATTAGTGATTAAGAACATTTTCCCATGGCTTGATTTCATCTGCCTATTGAAAACTGCCTATTCATATGCTTTAACCATTACCAATTGGGAAATGGGAAATAGTACACTTTCAATATTGAGCACTGGGAATAGAAATTTTCCCCTAGATGTCCTGACCCCCATGAATTTGCTAATGTACTTCATAATTCAGAAAGCTCTTTCATGCCCATGATTAATTTACTGCTGGACAATGTTGCTAGGTACTTTTCTTTATTCTAAATATATGGGCCTAATTTAGAATGATCATTGCAGGTAAGGCTCTTTTCTCTGCATGGCCATTCTGTGGGCACCTACAAAATAAGCTTGAGCTCTGGACCAGAAGAAAATGGGAAGCAGTTAAACAGGCAAGTCATTCTTTTTAGAAACACCATCACCACATTCTGAAAAAATACAAAATGTGTGCCAAATCTTGCCTTGACAATGAAATT